ATTACAAAAGATGATCTGCAGCGGAAATATAAAAAAACGTCAAATCAATTTACCAGTTGATTGAGATCCTCTTCAATCAGAGGAATATCTCGATTCGTGCATGAACGGTTTTCAAAGTCATCTATCCAGGAACACAAATCGTGCACAGCATCTCGTACACCTTCGTTGGCCGCTTTTTGAGCGGTTGCTTGATTGAACGCCTGTTGCAAGCGTTCCACTAGTTGTGAATGCCTGAAACATAAGAGCTTGCTCGAATTCCATTTCAGGCTGATGTCAGACTTTGCGAACCGAGGCTCGATTCGCTGTACGCGACGCGACCGCGACCGCTAGCGAATCGCTCGATTCGCAAAGTCTGACATCGACCTCAGGGTTTATTTATTGGTCAATCACAGAACAAGGTAAGGCACGGTTGCAATCACTTATTTCACCATCGATTGACTTCACTTCAATAGTCTAAGAAAAATTACAGAGATGAGACTCTATCAGACCCTACCAGAACGTCTATGTTAAGCTGATTATAGAATAGTGCGTTCTAAATTGCTAATAGACCAGAAATTGAGCACTCAAATCTATTATTTCATACGCATTGAGAGAAGTACTGTACCGTTTTCGCCGATCTTCAGATTCCGCTTCATGTCTTCTAGACGCATCAGGATGAGCGCTCAAACCATCGAGTGCGTTCAGGAGACGTCGAGACGCCTGATCAGCGTGATCAATGTGCACGTTCCCATCAACCACCTGAATGACTATTTTAACTCAGAGAATTACCACGCCAAGCACCTGTAGATCACCTGTTGATTGAGCCCTTCCAACATGACAAGTTTCTGCTCAACGTCCACGTCGGATCCACGTTCAACTTGATCGAGATCCTTTTCAATTTTTGAAAACCAGTCGTCAACTCGTCTAAAAATTATAGGTACCCTCTGCTTCAAAAACCAGGTGCGCGTCGAGTGCAGACCACACACCACAAGTGACGACGGCCTCCAAGTAAATCTGGTAACTAGTGGTTCATAGTGATAGCTGATAGTTGGTAAATGATAGTTGTAATTAGTGAACTGATAGAATACAACTGCAACAGGCTAATCATTTCATTGGCAGAAAACATTTACATTTTGTGGAGGCCGTCGTCACTTGTGGTGTGTGGTCTGCACTCGACGAGCATTTCGGAAACAGAGTAGAAGTTCCCAAGAGTTCAACTGTGATGCTAGGCGCTATCGCAGTATACGGGGTACTGTGGTGGCACTGCATTCAAAACCGCGTCAAACATGCCTTTTTTCGTTAAACGGGCCTAAGCCTTACACGGAGGATGAACCTCCTAAGGTGCGTGAGCCTATTTCATTCTCCCAGTGCTGCTGCCACCTCTTATGCTTGATCCTAAAGGATGCCCCCGTATATTGCGCTAGCGCCGTGATGCTACATAGAAGCAGAACTCTTACCGCAAATTCTCTGCATGTTCGCTTCCAAGTCCTGCGATTCTGTTCTGAAACTGTATCAATTCGGAGCACTGCTTTTGAAGAGCCGAGAAATCGTCCTGAAATCTTGGGAGTGAATAATAGTTATAGGTAATCACATGAAGGAAGAAGAACGCACATCAACCCTGTTGAAAGTGTTGCGAATTTCGGTAGAGTGAATTCCACGATTGATCGCTACTGGCGCAGAGTCATACAAAGCGTCGACCTCTTGCTCAATCTTTGCCAACACAGCACCAATAGCCTTTAGACGGCTTTCTTCCTGGGTAATCTCATCCAGCAAACGTCTAGCATCTTGACGGGCCTTCAATGGAAATGAGACCATTAGTTGATGTTAAAATTTCCTAGAAAAAAGCGAGCCTAACATACCTCGTTCAGATGCAGCGGTTCAGCAGATCTCTCACGAATCGACCCAATAACTCGAGTCTGATGGGTCATCCACGATTGCCAGAGAAGTTCTCTTGAGGAGAATTCAATCAGCAGAGAGCAGACGTTCAGCTGAGAAAGTTGAAGTTCAGGAATCGATGCACGACAACAAAATGCGAACTGCACTGCGGACCATACGCTGATTGGAATTATAACAATAGTATGCGCGTCGCTGAGATAAGGATCAACCCGAAATAATAGGATTGCGAGGCTGAATAATGAATCATCCACAGGTGCACATCAACAAAACAACTTCGCCTACAAAAAACAACGACCCAAGTTGATCTTCCAAACTGATGGTGCCCTTCTGGGAACTTCAACAACCACGAAATCGGGCAGCTCAATGTACCCACTATTCTTTGCGAAGGATTACGAAAAGAAAGTGAATTTTCAGAGATGTTTCACATTCACTACTCGCCTTTTTTGGACTTGACCTCAAGTAAGAACTATTTTGTTCAATAAAAATTCCAAAAAACGGTCCGGACAACATGCAAATTCTTGCGCTATCAAGAAAGTTCGACCAACTTGTGAATCTAGCGCTAATAGTCGCTTTAGGCATCTTGGGAAAGCCCAAGAAACTGCACTCGAATCATGCAGTAAGGGTGAAACGCGCATTCTGTTCATAGATCTACAGCATAGTATTGATTAGCACTGCACTTCCGATCACCAGAAGTGTCTGAAAGCGGGTCAACCGACACGCGTCGAGCTATCCATCATTCTTAGAAGCGTCTATTTTTACATTAGAGGAGCCTCGATGCGACCCCCAACCAGGGTCGGTCCTATCGTTGGTACTTTTTGCAAAATTTTTACGACCCCCCTCCTTCACGAGAAGTTTCATACGACCCCCTCTTCACAGCCACTTTTTCCCTTCAAGTGAAACAGCAAAATTCCCTATATTTCCCCTCATTTTCCCCGATTTTCACCTATAACTCCATAGGGGGGAACAAAACTACCGAAACAAGTACGACCCCCACCACAAAGTTCAACAAACTACGACCCCCGTTGTTACTTGTAGCAACGTAGGGTTGACCCTGCCCCCAACCACATCAGTCTTAGGGGCTCTCCCAGTACAACACCTCTCCTCCCTACCCCTACCATCATGACTGTTTCTAAGACCAGCCGACACACCCAACTCCGCCCACTTTCTTTCTCCAAAACGGCCGTCGAGAAGGGGGGCATTGGTTTCGTGGAGCGGAAAACCCACCAATTTTGTCTGTTTACTAGTTTTGGAACTTTTGTGAGCTCGTCGAATGAGTCGTCAAATACACCCCCCCCCCCTCTTTACGACCTTGCTCACAACCACTAATTGCGATTCCCGCCCTACCCAAAATCACAAATGCGACCCCTTATTTGAATGTGCGAATGGACGGTTGACACTGCTCCAAAGCAGGCTAATGATTGAATACTTGCAAAACTGCTTCGAAAGCAAGTATGTTTAGCATTGCCGCATCAGCGGTAGTTGCTCACCTTCCATGAAGATTTTCCACTTCGCGAACGACATTGTCATAATCGATGGTCAACTGATTTCGCCTTTCGCGAAGATGGGCAAGTTGTTCGGGAGAGATTGAATCGGCCTCTTCGAAGCACAACGTGTCAACTGCCTCCAATTTCTCTTTAACTTCTCTTCGCCAATTATCCAGTGCATTCTTTGATATTCTGTAACATTTTGAGTCATAAGAACCGAACAAAGATTATCAGGTCTCACAGGAAATACTTACTTTACGATAGGCTGCGGAAGCAAATTCAATGTGAAGGAGACGTTTTAGAGGCCTAACCACAATCGGTCGGAACCCCGATAACTCTTATATGGGTCGGGTGAAATTTAACTCGGCACAACCAAATCAAGCTGTTAAGCCGAAGTGAGAACTGTCTTCTAAATTGCAATATTCCCGTGCACCATTTCTTTCATCTCACACTCGTTTTGTTTCTTTCGAACGACGTTGGTGGAAAGACTCTGCCGTGCATCCATCCACCGCATTCGCTATTGATAAACAGGCTGCCAGTTTCAATGCCATAACAATGAAAAATTCCCATTAGTGACAAGTTGAGTTAGGGACCAGCACAAAGAACCACCAATGGCGAATGTACGAGTGAACTCATTCACGGCCTCTCATCATACTCTTTCACAGGTTTTCCTTTCGTAAACAAACAGTCGGTAAGGTGGATCATTCTATAAGTTCCAACTCTACTCCCTCCCTACTCAATCCACTGACGCGCAAGCATCCCAGTGCCGAGTCTAACTTCTATCCGACCTCTTCATTTGCGACGCCACTCGAAGCTACAAAAAGCTAATTCCCACACAAAATCTCACGAGCGCAGAGTGGGAGAGGTCACTTGGACATGAGTGCCTCTTTGACAACGGGTTTTCTCGCCATGATGTAGGGAGACATGGGTGTAACAAAAACAAGGTCCACCTCCTGCACGCCTCTAGGAATAACAGAAGAGTTCAGATAAAAGATTTTCGGAGAAGTTTTGACAGTAATATTACTTGTTTAAGCTATATTTAAGCTATCGACTGTGAAACGCAATTTCCTCATGATCTTAATACTTCGTTATGCGAACTTTTTCCACCGAGCATCTTTATGCTTTCATACATCTCAAATCTTGATCCTGAAATTCTAATTTAACATTTTACTTTCACCGATTCGATTCCACGGTGTCGTATCATTGACGAGCACTGACTGTTGCCGCATTAAAGAACTGACTTGTAGAACGTATGGGAAACACTAAGACGGATTGCAATCGAAGAAATGAGTATATCTCATACACTTATAATTTCAGCTAAAAAGAGCAAGAGATGGTAGGGTAAATCACGCTAGAAAGGTCTCGAATGCTGCAACAATCAAGTAACGTGGCTCACACTCCGGCACCATGCGAATGTAATTCATGGTTCAGCTCCATCGAAGTACGCAAACAGCGTTACAAATTTCAGAGTAGAGTTACAATATACTCGTAGCGACAGTGAAAATATCACGATATGCGGTGATCAGAGTACCATCAACAAAAACTATTCTTTGCCCAAACAAGTGGATAAAAAACTCACAGGGTGAAAATGGCAACACATGAGCAGACGTACATGGATAATATCCTTTACTCCACAACTGAAATTAACGGAACCCAATATCAGACAACACAGCAGAACACTTCAGGGAGGCAGACGAACCCAACTCTGACAAAACTGGAACAATACATTAAAGTGTAGTATAACACTATGAGCGTCGCCCGAAAACCTAAAGGCTGCTGCCCAACCCCTCATCAATGATAGGGAACATTTCCCTAATTGCTGACATCGCAGATCATCTTAGTGGCGGGTTCGAAGGACGCATACAATGAAAGAATCGCAGGTTCCGTTCATCAAAGAGCGCACGAATGGGCCCCCATCTCTCAACAAAACTTCCTTTATGAGCTAGGCAAGTTACAGGGACCGAGAAGATGTTACCATATGCGACCAAATGAAGGAAATCCGCTTCCCGTGTCAAATATCGGTCCGTCGTACAGCTATTTCTCCTCGTCGAGCTTGTTTTCAGGTCACGCAGCGGCGCGTAATAACTTCTACGCCTATACGCAACCGCGAGCAATTGAAATTACAACCTTATCGTTTGGAGCTTCTGCTACGAGTGTTATCCAGTACATTAATCACAAATACAATATTTATTTTTGGCTCCAGCAGAATCTGGCGTCACGCCAACCTTCTCCAGCAGTTCCCTTGAAACATAGTAAGGTTGCGATGGTACCGATCATGAACACGAACACACTGATTCCATATGCGCCAACCCAGCGGACGAACAATTGCAAACTAAGTAATGTCGTACAGATCCCTGAACCACGACCCACTTTTTGACCCAAATTCCTAAAGCGCCGAAAAAATAATCATTCTGGCTCAGTGGTCATGTCACCAAAAAGCACTTGAGAAAGCTTTCTATGCCCTGAACGATTCTTCCTCGTGTATGCGCGTTTTCAAGAATATAGTTTTCAGCAACAATAAAGACTTCCGGAAGAATATCCTCTTGCAGTTTCCTAGATCACACTCCACTCAATTTAATCTCATAATCATCGGTTATGCCCATTGTAAAGCCCATCACAAGCAAACATGGCTTTTTAGCTACCATATCACCGCGTCGATAATGGGATCGTTTAGCTTATGCGGACCCTCCACCAATCACCTCGTAAGCGCCATAACTGCAGGGTGTTGTACATCAACTGTTGGCATAACAACACGGAACCAACACCAGAAATAACAGGTTTTTGCTTAATCACATTTCTAACACCACATTTGGTAAACGAAGATAATTTGTTAGGTAACTTGAAAATAGCAAAACGCGAAGCCTATGGACAGTCAGCAGCCGTTTCCAGAAAGACAACCATTTTTGGATTTGTGAAAATAGACTTCCAACATCACGGAGCACATCCTGTTACGGCTTCTGACCTCGGAAATAGCCTACAGATTTCGTCCGGTCAGCAACTTAATAACCAGAACGCAGAAACTCCTCGCTATTTCGGCATCATTCGCATGTACTTATACCGGCACCAGCAACGAAAGCAAATCCTACGTGGTGATATCTGGGCGTTCCTTGTTTTTACCCAGTGAAAACAATTGATCTGTTCTCTTCAGCAGAAACATACCTAGTGCTCATGCGTTAGAAGCAGCGACTTCCTCGTTGAAACATGATTATACGAAGTTATACGATGATTTTATTGATATTTTCAAAAGCCATACATTCCGAACATTTGGTGTTGATTTGATTCTCAACAAAACCAAATGAAACCCTGCTGGATTTTGCCGTGTCCAATTCTCATAATTATCTACAGGGGTGGCCAAAAAAGAGACATTTCACTCCACACATTTTATCAGATCTAAGCATTAATCACACTAAATGCAGAGCAAAATAACCGCGAGTAATCCCACTATCATCTTCAAAAGTAATTGTAAATCTATCTAAAGTAATGACAGCCCTTCTAACCGAACACGAACGTCAGAATGTTTTCACACCGAAACATGGTAACGGTACGAGTCTCAACGCGGGTGGTGCGAGGTACCCAATAACGCACTTAACGACGTCCATGAACGCTGGTCAAAGTCGTTCTGTCATCGAGCGCTCACAACTAATGTCTCTGGGTAAGCATATTCAACTCAAGTAATTCCATTAACAAAAAATTATGTAGCAGCTTCAGCCGGAGCGATTTCTGTAAGCCTCGTTGAGCTCGACGGTGGCGGCAGATGACGTCATATTCTGAAGACGGCGGGGGCAGTGAAGGAGGGCCTGCTTCTGTTTACGGGGGAACACCTAAGGAATATTCCGCCGTAAAACTTTCATTAACATCGGCTCCCTGTGCGACGAAAAGTTCGATGATGTGCGCCATGGGCAAAGTGTCTTTTTTTGGCCACCCCTGTATACTTTGACCGCTTACGCCTTGCAAAATTTTAGGCAGATCCGGTTTCATTCAGAAGCACCCAGTCACGACGCAGGAGGGCTGTACTGCCAACACTGTGGCCGTCAACCGAGGCGAAATGTTTTATTAGCTAAACTAAATGAATAACTCATTTAAAAAACTGATGATTTTGTTGAGAATCAAATCAGAAGGACCGAAATGTGTCGCTGAGGGGAAACTGGTATCCGCTATGACAGCCAATACACACTTTTTACTTTCAAGAGAGATCAACGGTTGTCGTGCGATTTGACAGACACCGATGGAAATCACTTTGTCCGACCACACTAGTATAGCCGAACCAGGATCGACCGCTACAAGTTGGAGACGTTCAGTTTCTTCGCTGGGTCAGGCACAGAAGCTGCGCAATAACTGAAGCGTAAGGTTGAGTAGGGGCTCAGGTACAGGCTCACTTAGGCTTATGCCTATAGACTGACCTATGTTCATGCCTAGGATAGGGCCTAGGCTTAATCCTAAGCTTGTTTCGAGCATATGTGTGGTGTTTCAATTTTAGATGACCTGACTTGAGGAGGAGAACTGCAACGCATCCCAAAAGGTCAAAGGCATCTCAATCACATCATTACTTCACCAGAAACCGCTTCTTCGATTATGAAATTATTGATTCGCTCCTTTTTAAGGACCCTTGTTTCAGATAATGCATCATTTTCAATTTCAACGTTACCTGGATGTTTTTTTTTGTGAAATTTTCAATTGGATTATTTCACCTGACACTTCGGAACACACCTGCACATCATTATGGGCGTTTGCTGCTGTTTCTGGACAAAGATCAAAACTGAGATGCTGTGAATAAATGGTTTCTTGGAATCTAGCCAATTCCGAAATGATGTCCGACAACTCGTTTTGTCGTATCGTCGCTTCTCGTGCCACACTCTCCTGAAGCGGTTCATAATGCGATTACCGTTGAGATTTAGCAGCTTATCCTGACAAAAAGTCGTCACTGGTCATAGCCTTACGTAGCCTCTATTTCTAAAAACGAGAAGAGCGTCGAGTGCAGACCACACGCCACAAGTGACGACGGCCAAGAAAAAGTGGCTTTTCTTTTTTTTCTTGGCCGTCGTCACTTGTGGTGTGTGGTCTGCACTCGACACTCTTCTCATTTCTTCTCATGTACTCACTGTGGAACTTTTGTCCACCCAGCCATCCGCCTTGAGTGAATCACCTAGGGAACCCTGAATTTTTTCTTTTTGGACACAATTCATGCGTATGAAATCATGCAATCACATGTAACGCCATGTAGCACCCAGCAGCAGACATTCTCAACTTCAGGACAACTGTCACATTTTCACAATTTCATGCACTGGTATATTCAAATTTAATACTACACAGTTCATTCAAACATTGACGGAAAACACACTAGTGATTGATGAATCGTGTAGTAACCTCTATACAATGGGAAGGCAGTGTGGTGAAAAGAACTGTCTAACACAGTGACACTAGGACAATAGATATACACAAACTAGATTGAGCGATCCTTTTACGGCACAATGGAAAAGTCATTTACAATGGTAAGTGAATCATGCAAGCGAGAAAATCACATAGAATTTCATTTCACATATTATGTAGTAGGAATCATATGCCAAGTGATTATTGGTTTGTCACAACGAGTTTCGAATAAGTGAATAACTGTACGGGTATCAATGTTGAGGTTGGAATATGCAGAATAGAATGTACTAGTGCATCTGAGATGGTTGTGAGTAAAAAGGAATGACTTAACGAGCCCACGATGGAGCATCCTGCGTTCTGTCCGCTACGCTGGATGAATAGGTAGTGTAAGGAGCAAGGGGATCTGTTCGTGATTTCCTCAACTCGGACGGTTGTCCGTGCCAATTCACAGTCTTCGTCCAGGTCCTTGAACTTGATGATCCACCCTCAACCCCGCCTGGAGAAGGAGCCGACTGTTGCTGGGCAAGATTTAGTTCCTCGATGGACATATTCAATGACTCCATCAAGACGTTTCGCAGCATCGCCTTGTACGTAATTCAAGTGAACGGCCTTGGGGATGGAATATCTGCGACCCGTATCAGGCACGACTATCTCACCAGTGAGGACGTCAAGAAGGCCGGTCTCTGCAGCTTCCCGCACGGACAGCCTCTGACCACCAGAAGGATTCGTGATAATTTTCTCATCGGTGTCGAAACGGTTCGCTTCCAGGTTCGCTAGAAATTCGTGCTGCAAATCCGCCAGAGTCGATGGGTCATCGATGAGACTTCGTGCACGATCTCCAATATTCGTCTGAGAGTGTCGCATCCTTACTGTGAGGGAAGGCTCCGCTTTCTGGGGCGTCAAACGCACTATCGTCTCTTCCCGGAATTTAGGCACGCTTGTTCTGCTGCCTCGGCTATCGCCGCCATAATTTTCGATCTTGAACTTGTAACCTTCAGCGTCTCGTCGTTTGACAGCCTTCAGCAACAGCTTGCGCAGCCTGCATGGGCGAAGCAATCAGGGCGACCAAACCTCCTTTCACTGCATCTCTCAACGTCATCTTCAGGTTCCCAGCGATATATTTGCCATCACTATCAATCTTTCGTCGCACAAGAGCCTCCCTTAAGGTTAGCGTTTGACCACTTTCCAAGTCATGAAGCAAGGAGTCGCCATCGATTACATCACGCTCAACAGCATCTTTGAATGTGAGGTGTAGACTGGTCCGCTTGTCTCGGATGCGACCAGAGTTTTCATCGAATTCTTCCGAATTAATGATATTGCTTAGATTCTTCTCGTCTGATCCTTCCATAGCTTCCACGTTGCCTGTGTCGATGTATCCCTGCTCAATGGCCTGGGCAATTCGTCATTTGGCGTCCAGTATCTTGATCTGTGAAGATGTTGGAGGTCACGTCGATTGAGTCCTTTTCCAAGAGCTTCAGCAAAGTTCAGTTTGTCAATCTGCCGAAGTTTCTCTCCAATTTCTCTGGGGATTCTTCCATCCTCCACAGCTTTGGCGATAGGAACAATACTGTGGCGGGAAATTTGAATGGGCTTGTTTTTAGGGTCAACAAGCTTCGCATCTACAGCTTGGGA